CTGGCGGCCCACACGCGCCGGGTTACGGTGTCCTGGCGGCCCACACGCGCCGGGTTGCTCTGTTCTCGCGGCCCACACGCGCCGGGTTGCGCTGTTCTCACGGCCCACACGCGCCGGGTTACGCTTTTCTCGCGCCCCACACGTGCCGGAATGTGGTTAACGTGAATCCTGGCTGCTCCCACATCTGTCCACATTCCCTGTGACTCCATGGTCTCCACACCTGCCCATATCTGCCCCCCCCCCCCACACACACACCTAGGTTTCTCTTTCCCCTGCTTCCCCCACCTTTGATTTTGTTCCCAGCCCCGGCTCAGCCTGACTGGAGCTAATTATAAAATCAATGGTGGCCGGCTGGCTGTTTTATGGTCTGCCTTAAAGCTGTAAGTGAGAAATCACCGCAGCATTGACAACTCCCTCATTCTTTATCTCTTTTAATTAGTAATGTAAAAAACATAAAGAGCTCGGCTCCAGGATATCCGCTTGGTATACTGCGGTTCCTGTCCCCTTCTTCCTGTTCGCCTCTCCCTACCCCTCCTAACCAGTCACTCTCCGTTTTTATGTCTCTCTCTCACTCTTTTATTACTTTGCCTCTTAAATATTTTAGACCCACACTCTTGGTCTCTCTCTATCTCATTTTCCTCTAACATAGGTGTGAGATGTAATCTTTCACCTTCTCCTGACCTTCTCTCCTGCTCCTCCTCCAGATGTAACCCATGCTCTCACGTCCTCTTGCTTGGTTGGCTCACCTCCTCGCCACTCCTCCTGTCCTGTTCTGGGCCATTTCTTTCCACATCCACCCTGCTAATGTGCAGAATGTAGCTGCTTACACGAGATTTTGGTGTTTTATGCTAATGGCGCTATCTGCGTCGAGCAGTCACACCGGGGGCCCTCTGTGGACCCTCTAATCTCCCGATCAGCATAGTGACAGCATGACTGCCAGAGCCACAAAACAGGAGCGAACACTCGGCTATAGTGTAACACACCAGTGGAGCTGCTTGATGTGTAATTACCAGCGGCTCAATGTCACCTGGAACCATTATGGAAAAAAAAACTAACCAAGAAAATACACATTCAGCATGCTATTGAAACACTTCTAAGGATTTATCAGCAAGGTGTATGTTTGTATGTTATTTATTACCAGTGCATTGACATTTTTAAAAGTCCAGATACAAATACAAGTAAAACCATCTACGTGATTCGCGCTTTGCTCTCCGAGAAATAAAGTAGAAACAGTTCATAAAAAGGGGCATCCTAAGTTTATACAGTCAGGCTTCAAGATTGCTTTCGCCACACTGAGCTATTTTAATTACCAAAGGCTGTGAGACTGTGATTCTGAAAGGATGGACAGGAGCTGGTCACGCTCATTAAAAGGGATCCATAATCACGGATCGCAGCTGGGCGCTTGGGAAGTATGCAAGGAGGCTTTGAGAGGGCGCGCGGCACGGTCAGCGCTAAAATGCAAACGCCGGAAGCTGCGCGCTCCTGTGCTTCAATAATCAGCATCTGCGCGGCAGAGGAGCTGCGGCCTGGATCTCTGCATATTCAGCTCCGCAATCAGATAAGCTCCCCATCTACTTGCTTCTCTGCTCCTGCTGCACCCCGCCCACCCCCCTTTTCCCTCACTCTCTTTCTCCTTCTTATGCTTATCCTACATATTTTTCTCTCCACCAAGGCCCATTTTCAGCTGCCAAGATCAAATATAAATGAAGGGAGAAACGCATAAAAAGGAGAAATAAAAGGTGCCGCGCGGAATTTTAACATCCTCTCTACCTCCGGGTCTCACGCTCGCTCCCCCCGGCGTTACCATGGTAACGTGTCTAGCACAGGTTGAATATACGAGGTCGTTTAGTGCTTCCTTGTAAAACTGTGTATAATGTATGGACCTCGTTTAAATCCTTGCAGCACTATTTCGGCCTCTATTTCATGAAAGTTAATTTTAGCAATAATTTAATTAGTGGAATCCTATTTGCATTTATTGCGGTCTTTCGGTCTTCCTATTAATAAAAATGACCGCGCCAACAAAAGCATTCATCAGCTTGTGCGATGTGTGTGTGTGTGTGTCTGTGTGCGCGTGCATGTTTGTGTTTGCGTGCGCGCGCTGTTTACGCGTATTACTGCCTTTATTAATTTTGTTCATAATTGGCTTCATGTGTACAGCAATGCTTCTTTTACTTATTTTTTAATGCAAATGAAACGTTGTTTTACACTGACAGTGACTGACAGCCTTTATTGAGCCTTCAGTGATGTCTGGTTTCCTTTACAGTCTCTGCTTCCTTTGAGTCCGTATTCAGACGAAAAACATTCATTCAAAGAATTTACAAAGAAGACAAAAAATAAGATGCCAATGCATCCAGACAAACACTATCGCTAACAACAGCCGCGCTAATAATGATTTGAGCGATTTTATAGTCGTGCTGTTATTTCTTCTGCTACGCAACATTTATAAGCATTTATTCATATTAATTTTTCATCCCTTCAAATGCAATTACTGATTAATGTGTATTTGAAAATATATGTCCTGCAAAATGGAACAATTGATCCAAAGAAATGTTCAGCAAACATACTAGGCCTATCTTAATATAATAGGTTGATAATTCATGTTAATCTTGGTCCACCGGACATTACATATATCTAATTATTGAAAAGGTAATTACACCGACATGTAATTGTGTTAAATTGTCCCCTTTACATACCGTGACCTGACTGTCAGTGAAAATGTTTTTAAGACGTCTGTTAAATCACACAACCGAAACGACTGTCTTCACCTCCTCGTTTGCAGTTGCACGCTGGAAGTGGTAGGCTATGTGTCATTGTACAAATCGTAAAAACATTAGTTGAGTGGAGTGGTCTAAAATGTGATTTGATTTAAATTACATATTTCTCCTGCAGTCTGTTTTTCCTCCTCAAAATGCTTCTTTGAATATGATAGCTCATTAAACACTGGAGATGAATACAAGATAGGCCTACATATTTGGATATCCATCCAGCATCGATCAATCTATCAGGTACAGGCTGCAAGCACATTGGGATACCCTCTGGACTTGATTCCAGTCCAGCCTTGGTGCAAATGCGCTACCTAAGAGAAGGCGGTGTTCTGTCGATATATGCTGCCTTGTCGAAAAATGCTACCGTAGTGCTAATAGATAGCCCTAACCCTAACTCTTACCCTAACCCTAACCCCCAAACCCTTACCTTAACCCTAACCCCTAAAACCTAACCCTAATCCCAAAACGGTGGAACTGCACATGCGCAGAAAGGCTCGATAGAACGTCTCGATAGGTAGTATTTTTCGACAGAACAGCGGCATTCACAAACGGGCACTATAGTCATGCTGAATCAGCTTGCTTGTTGATAATGAGTAACTTATACAATCAGTACACTTCAAAGTTACCTTTTTTTGTTGGTGGCCGAGGGGGAAGGAACCTCTGTGATTGGAAAACATGCATTTTTTGCTTTCTTTTAACCAGGCGCAAAAAAACAGAGGGGGCATGCGCGATTAAATATATAAGCTACATATGCTACCAAAAACGAACAGTCGTAACAAATACACTTTTAAAAAAACCCGGTGTTAATGGCTGAAATTAATCACGATACGAAGGACTATACGAATGAATAGAAATTAGTTTTAAAATGAA